AGCATTGATGCTAACTCCTTCACTGTGTTGTTTATGCTTCAGCTTTAAATTAGCATGATCCGAACACAGGCCTAAAAAGTTGAATCAATTTCCTACATTTTAGTGTCAGTATCTACTTTGTTTCCAAATATATTTCTTTAATTCTTCAAAACCCGTTTTTCCATTTTGATCTTATTGTTCAATATATTTGACCATAACCAGAATTTCTGTCAGAATTCCTAGCGTTTTTTTTAAGCATTCAGTTCACATTTAGTCTTGTTTGTTGATGCTTCTTTAACATTTGTAAAACAAACAAACAAACAAACAAATGTGTTTGTCTGTTTGTTTGTTTGTGTAAGTAAAGCAGTATTTTCTCCACAGGCTGCAGTACTCCATATATTCGTAGTATAAGTTGGGAGTACCACAGTAATTGTAGAATCCCAAACCTCCGTCTCGACCTCTGCGTGTCCTCCGCAGCTGTGAGCTGTCAATGACCTCGGCTCCTCAGAGAGTGGGCGTGTCCGTTCGCCGCTTCCCACCTCATCATTGACCTCGGCGGAACGCCACCGCCAAGTCTTGAGGGCAAACGTTTAACTGCCGTACGAAAATCTCCGGCTCGCTGCCCATTCAATCACTCGTGTGACAGTTAACGGCCCACGGTGGCTAATGATTTTCCGTCGTGTTCCGGGCCCCGCTGGCTGAAGCTGAGGATTAAATATCAGCTGACGACGGACACGTCCACCACGTCCACGTCTTGGGGACTCTTTGTCTCCACGTAGTGAAACTACTACACTGTTAAACGTCAGCGAAACGGAATATTCTGACGGATCGGTTTGAGGTTTTTCTCGGGGCTGCAGGGTCGACTCTGTGGAGAGATTTTAGTTTTTAAGTAGTCAAGTTTGGACTTTAGCCCCCTCCGCCCAGCTCATTCTGGTCTCCTCTAAATGAGGAGGTCCGGTCACTTCCTGCGTTGTTTTTCGTTTCATTTGGAATATCCCCCCCCTGTTCTTCTCCTCCTCTTCAGACTTCACAGGGAAACTGAGCTGAACTTTTTTTTTTCTGCTTATGTTGCACTTGTACCGTCGTCTTTGAGACTGTCGTCTGTCTGTCTGTCTGTCTCTCTCTGTGTGTGTGTGTGTGTATACACACAGGGAGTTTTGAAGTTTGAAGCCACTCTGTCTCTGGCTGTGCAGGCCCCGCTCGCCTCCTCCCAGCCTCAGTGCTGAGTCCTGTGTGTTTGTCTGAACACAGGTATCTGGTATTCATCCAGGCTCCGTCCACGGCTCTGCTCCTCCACACATCAACATTGTTTGCCGGATGGGCATCTCTGGCCGGAGCTGTGTAGAAACTTTGGAGTATTTATTATTCAAAGGCCTTGTTCCCTATGCTGTTTTAGTAAGGGGGGAGCAAAGGTGTGTGTTTGGTAGAGAGGGAGCGAGCGAGAGAGGGAGAGTGGGAGAGAGAGAGAGAGAGAGAGATGCCGGGGCTGACACTGTCACTGACAGGGAGAGCTTCAGTCGACTTCCCCCCATTATTTGTTCTAGTCCAGGAAGGCACAGTCGAGATCACACAGGAGCACAGCTCTGTGTGTGTGTTTGTGAGCGCACACCAGAGTGTGTGTCATCGCCTGGCATTAGCACTGTGGGTTCACTACCTTCTGTCTCTGTGTGTGTGTGTGTGTGTGTGTACTGCAGGGTTTTTTTTTTTTTTTCTGGTACCGTACACCCGTGTCCGTGTATATTTTTAGGCACTTGAAGAGCCGAGTGATTGCAGCCTGACTTTATCCTGTCGATTGCTGTCATATTGTGGTTTGTTATCGCCGGCCTTGGCAGGGATCGCAGCGCCAAGAGCGGCGTTTTATTGAACCTCGGAAAGTTTATTTGCCCCGGAATCAATTTTCAATCGATCGGTTCAATCCATTTGTGGTTTACACATATCTGTGTTTACCCAAAACATGGCACGTAATCAATGAAATTAATCACACCCTCATGTTGTCTCTCGGACACGTGGCCGCACTGACAAACACACACACACTGACACACACACACACACTCTTCCTACTGCAAACAGTCATAATGAAGAGCAGCCAATGTCGACAGCCTTCAGTCCCCTCCACCCTCCTCCTCCCCCCCTTACCTCCCCCCGTCTCTCTTTCTCTTCCTTTCTCCCACCAGGCAGACCCAACTTTGCACACTTTACATACAATATTAATGCCCTGTCGGGGGAGGAAGGACTCAGAGTCTGGTCATCTGAAAAAACCCTGGCAATCACTGATTGTCTCTTGTCATTATGAAAGGGAATAATTCCTTAACATGCATCAGCAGTGTTCAAAAACAGCCTTTTTTGATGAGTGACACTTCCCGTCCTCACGCTCCTTTTTATGTGTCGAACTTATTAATAAAGCAGCAGCCGAGGAGACAAGACAGGGGAGACGTACCCTGTGTGTGTGTGTGTGTGTGTGTGTAACTTTTTTGGTGTTTGATTTGTCAGGTGTGATTTCAGGACTCTGATCGTAACGTAGCAGCGTTCGATCACACCAGCTGTAGTACTATTTATCCTCGTGTTTTTTTTTTTTGTTATTACTACTATCTGACAATGTAACAGTTTTTCTTTCGTGCTGAGGTTTTTTTTTTCCTAGTTCCTAAACACTGAATATTAAAAGAGTCAAAAGTTAGAAGTGGTATTCCCTGCAGTGAGGTGTTTTACCCACCAAAGAACGAGGAGGAGTGAGAATTCCAAATTACTGCAGATTTACTTTAGTGGAGAAAATAATTGGCGTATTTTTTTTTCTGGAACTATCTTTTGTTCCGGAGTGTTTCCTTTTTTTTCTGATCCAATAACTGTCACATCGGTACCATCGGAGCTGTCGAATCTAACAAGTAATCATTTGGTGAAGATGAATTAAAAAAAATGTTCTACGCATTTATAAAACATTTAAACTACAAACTAAACGTCCACTTCTCACTGGTCCAAGTCATGGTTTATACTCATGTAATTTAAGCAGACTGTGGGGAAAAAAGGTTTTGTTTTCACGAAGCACCTCAAGCTTTAAATACCTTTTCAACTCCCAACATGCATTTCTCAAGACCTTAGACAACTGACCAGGCCTTCAACAACCCCCCCCCCCATCACGATGCTTCGTCATGACTGAAATCCAATCACGACACAAAGCTAAAATACCCATTTATACTTTGTTATACTTTTTTTTTGACTACTTACAGTTGACTACTTACAGTTATTTGGCTTATGTAAAACTATTAATTAACTAATTACCTGATTAAATTAATCGCGATTAATCTACAGCGACACTGTGATTTAGTCAAATTGAGTCAAATGTGTGCTACTTTATCAAGGCGTTTTTATCATGGCCTGCCTTTGGATCTGCGTTGTTGCTGTTTTGCGTGCCTGCGTGGACGGCGCCGCCCTTGTGTTGTGTTTAGCCTTCT